CCTTTAGTCATATTATAAAAACATATAATACCTGACGTTGTATTTTCTCCAATAGTATCATCTATACTATGATCATTATATAATGTTGAAAGCATAAAAACAGTTTTTCCTTTTTTAATGTTTTATCTTTTTCGAAACCAAAACAGTGTAGAAAATATTCCTAGTTTCATCTTCAGTTTCTGAAATCCAATCTTCATCGCTTTCAAATATTTCTAATAAATCTCTCAGGCGTTGCATCTCCAACTCATAGGGAGTCATTCTTTTTACCATAATGCGGTTAGAAATGTTTAAGAATTTAATGTTAAGTACTTTAAAATCACTTGTGAGTAGAAATATTTACTGTTACACTCTAGAAATAAATTTCTGAACTAAATATTCAGTCAGAAAAACACTTACGCGGACAGGCGCGTGGGGTGTGTCATACCCCAGTTCCAACAAAATACGGATAAATCTTTTTCTGCACAGGCAAAAGAAAAAGCGGTTCTGAAAGTCAACCACAACTAGAAACTCAGCTACTGAATGCAGCACAGAATTTCAGTTTCACAAGTTAGGAATATTCCACTTTTATGTAGGGTTGGGGTATGATACACCCCACGCGCCTGTCCGCGGGTTAAATTCAAATTCAAATGTTCTTATCCTAAATTCAAATGAAAACACACTTGGCGGTATAATAGACCGCAGAATACAATTCTAGCGGTCTTAAAATAGCAATGCTGAATAATGTTGAAATGCAGAGTTAATACATTTATGCTTCGAATATCAGTAAATATTAATTATTTGAAACAAATAATCAGTATGGATGATTACAAATAAAGGAATTAACTCTTAATAATGTTTAATATGCAAGGAAAGGAATAATATGTGTGAAGAATAAAAAAAAAAATATGTGCCATATTTTTTTTTTATTCTTTTCAGCAACTTATGTGAGGAATAAAAAAAATAAGATAAATATGTAAGTATTGTTTCATTGTTGAGCTAGATTCTCTCAATCCTTGCCTGAAACCAAGTTTAATTCAGTTAAGCTAGATTCTTTGTTGAGTAATCCGTACACCTCTAAATTTACTAGGCGTACAAGGAAGAATTTCAAAGCATGATTTCCGAAAACTTATTAGTGTGTAAAAGCTTAAGACTTATGACGCTTTCAAATGAAAAAAAAGTAGATGCCTAGAGGAATAAAATTTTAAGATATTCATAGCTGGGCATATAAAATTAGAAGAAATCACCCTGCCTTCTAAAGCAATAATTTATTTTAAAAATTTTGATAATATTCTTGAATATTAATATCGGAAACACCTAATTTGTTTCCTTAAACTTTCAAGAAATATTATTTTTCCACATTTTCAGTTCGTGTATTATACAGAAATTTGGATTATGCGGGTTTACCATTCTAAAGAGTTTGCATTACTTGTACTTTAATTATTCTTATATACACACTGAAGAAACTATTAAAAGGATTTCATTTTCCAAAGTAATTAATAGCGAAGTCAAAATTGTAAAAACTAAATATATATTTCCTTGTCCGTATTTTAGCGAAAACTATCTTTGACAATATAATGATGTATGGCAGACACATATCACTTTATACGTTTAAAGAAAGCTTATTGATTGAACGCAAAACGCTCTTCGTATCTTTGGAAAGCGGAAATGAACATTTTTGTTCAAATTTATACTTTATTTATACTTAAGACAAGAAAATTTATTATCGGAAATTGAATAGATGTTATTAAAACGCACGAGGAAAGCTAAATTTTGATAGTTTGACTGTAGATTAAAACATTCAGTTTTAAAAATAAATTTCAGTTAGATTTATCCCTTTATATACGTATCCCTTTATATCGTACTTAACATAGCTTAAATTTATGGCTTTAACACATTTTGTGAGAATGCATGGAAGTCAGAAAACTTTTTAAAAAAACAACTCTAAGTCTTTCGTCTTTTTTTTTTTTTTTTTTTTTTTTTTTTTTTATGAGCGGAGTGCGTATCATGGGAAAATGAAAAGTATTTTCTGTTGAGGGAAACACTTGTTTCAAGTCCTGTGCGCCAGTGACGCAGTGAGATAAGTGCACAAAAAAGGCAGGAATACTTTTTTTTTTTTTTTTTTACATAAGAACATGTCTCCGCGCGGCTTTAGTTTACAATCAAAAATGGCAATTTTATCTTCACTTTTGCTATTGTTGTTTTAAACAGCTGATTTTTAAATACGTGAATTACTTTTCTATATATTTCATTTCTAGAGCACTGCTTAAAAACCGAAGCCTTGGCTAACCTGTATGCTTAAAATACCGAAATGCCCATTTCCATCCATTACCTGCCCCGTCCGTTTCATTCACTCCCGGTACATTAATGCACAAAGAGGTGTGAAGATTTCAAATAATATCCTTTCTACTTCCTAACAAGGAATCTTCCATTAGCCTTTTACGACAAGCTACCTGCAATAAATTGATACAATGCATTTGGAGAACTGTACTGGCTACTGCATACGTTAGGTGGCGGGAAGGAAACACTCAGCCATTTCGGGTGGTTGTGGGAGTTTGAATGAAAGGCTGTGCCGGGCGTTTTGGCCTTCAGAGGGTTAAACTAGCAGATCTGTGGCAACTGCGGAACATTAAATGATTTCAAATGCTAAACTGAAATATACATATCAAGATCAGTTTTCAATTCCCATTTCATTTCATAACTCTCATATATATATGAAATGTAATTTCTCATACATTATTTGTTTTGTGCAGCCGGGACAACAGGAATGAGACAAATTTTGGAATATAAAGTGGTAGGTTTATTTTAGCATCCATTTCACAAGCGTTTCTTATCGTACCTTCAGCAGAAGCCCTATTTATACACATGTGTGCGTCACGAGGCTCATCCAATCAGCGATATTAATTGAAATCACGAGGTGACGCTATCTTCTCATCAGGAGTGTTCTTAAGGACTTTATGTAATATGACAGATTTATGAGTTTGGCAATTTGGCGGGCGCCAACAGGTTAATATATTTTATACTAAAGAAAGGATTTCGCCAAAATTTAGGAACAGGGATGCAATTTAGGTAGAGAATCGCCAACACATTATTAAGCAATATTATTAGATTTTAATTTAATCAATTGATTTAAAAATATCATTACATATATATATTTTTTTTTAAATAATATTTTTAAATTTTTTAAAATTTAATGGTAAAACTGCACGAGATATATTGTCATCTGATGTCTTCAGATTTCAGCTTGCTTAAGTACCGACTTTCAAGTGTCTGAGTAAAATGTTTGCGTTTCTCTTTCTCTAGAAATTAGCTTACGGCATTTGAAACTTTTTCCCTGTGCTTAACATTGCAATTTCTTGTTTTTTTGTAAATAAATTTACAATATTTTTATGTTGACCATCCATGCATTTTTTATGCCTGAGGGTTTTTTTCTTTTGAAAGCCGTCGTGATGCACGTGAACAAAATTATAGTTCAAAAACAAAATTATAATTATATTATATTTATAACTATATAGCTTTCATGAAATGACAAAATGCTCATCACCTGCTTTCTCCTTAAATTTAGAACATACACCTCTTGAGATGCGAATTAGTAACGAATTTATTCCATCTTCTCTCAAACCAGAAAGATTTTATCAGTGGAAAGATTTTAATTATTATTACTAACTCATGAAGCATTCATCATTTATCCGAAATTTATCTTCGAACTCAGTAGCGTGATAGACAAGCCATGCCATACTTCATTTATAATTATGTTAAATATTTTACAATTATATGCATTGCATTCGCATTCGTATCTTTATATTATGTAATATTACAATACAATTTATGTGCCTAAAATATAGCAATGAAATATTATTAATGTAAATCTTCTCTCAGACTATCACTTATAAATCCAGGCGATTTTGGTATCTAATAGAGATGGTCTTCTTCGTATTAATAAAATCAGGACTTAATTACGGAGATAAGTAACGAAAACATTTAGAAAAATATAGCGGTTTAGAGAATTTTAATTGCCAGAGGTTGTTTAAAATACCACAATAAATAACATCTTAAAATACTAGGAGCATAGTTTGTATGTAATCCAAAAAATATTAGTAATGCCGTATATTACAAAGTTTATTTACTAAAATTAAAAAATAGCATTTTTAGATTACATTCATCCAATGAAACCCTGATTTTATGTTTTGTTATTCAAATTCTGAAACAGTTGGAATTTCAAAAAGCAAGTCAACCGTATTATCGGTTATTAGATTAAGACCCAACCGTTTTAAATATTTTGCATTACTGAGATATCAGGTTGCTTAAATTTTAATACTTACCTCCCACAAATGTATCTTTGTTGACTGGAACATCTAGTGCTCAACTGTGTCTCAGTAATTCAGTTTAACATAATCGCGAATAATTTGTAGATGCAAAGAATCGTGTTTTTAAGTCTACTTATTACTTTACAATTGATTCTACATAGATAATTATAATTTAACCAATTTCTGTATCGCTTTCGATTTTTTTTAATGGCCGGGCGATTTATTTTACAGCAATTACCGTATTTTTCGCCGTATAAGACACACTTTTTCTCCCCAAAATCAGGGGGGGGGAAAGTGCCTGTGTCTTATACGGCAAATACAAAAGCCCACCATGGCCCTCCGCTGCCCCTCCACCTCTGCATACATACCTTACCGCAGGAATACTCAGCCACTCCGTTCCCTTCCACCTCTTGGCGCCGTCTGAGACCAGGAAGCCCCGCTTTGCCTCGCACTGTATTTGGACGGTCTCTGCCTCGCGCTGCGATTGGCTGAGCGAAGAGGCCCGTGCCTTCGCTCGCTCCCGCGCTGGCTTTGTGCACTTTTTTAGAGTCTCGTAAGCCAGCGCGGGAGCGGGTGAAGGCATGCGTCTCTTCGCTCAGCCAATCGCAGTGCGGGAGCAATCGGGAGCAAGCGGAGGCGCGGATAGCTGTGAGCTGTGATAAATGTAGTATGGTATATCTGAATGAAATATATGATATTTCATACCACCCCATCAAGATGTCGAAGCAGAAGAGACTGGCATATAAAGTTGCTTTCAAGCTGAAAGTAATAAAATTTGCTAAGGAGCATGGAAACAGAGCAGCGGAGAGACACTTTGGGCCACCTCCAACTGAGAAAATGATAAGAGAGTGGAGGAAACAGGAGGATCAGCTCCAAAAGTTGGATAAAAGCAAGCACACCTTGCGTGGACCAACTGCAAAGTGGCCAGAGTTAGAGGTAGAAGTAAAGGAGTGGATCGCACGTCAACGGCAAAATGGACTTTCTATCTCAACAAAAAAGATAATCTATGAGGCCAAACGCATTGCTGTGGAGAAAGGCATTCAGGATTTCACCGGATCCCCATCGTGGTGCTATAGATTTATGAAGAGATCTGGCCTTTCTATGCGCACCAAAACCAGAATTGCACAAAAAATGCCAAAGGAATACTATCACACAAGTGTGTGAATGGGTTAAAAGGTCATGGGACTCCGTAAAAAAGACATTGTTGTAAAATCATTCAAGAAGTGTGGCATTAGTAATGCCTTGGATGGAACAGAAGACGACGTCTTATTTGACACCAGTGAGGAAGAAAGTGATGACAATGACTGCGTGGATCTGTCCTTCCTCATTTCTGATAGCAGCGAAGAAGAGGAATTCTTGGGGTTAGAATAAAAACATGACAGCCTTATTTTTGTTACTTTCACTATTTGCTGACTGTTTATGAGAGTAAAGATAGCTCTTAGTATGTTACATTGATATAAAATATTTTACTACAGAAATTTGGTTCATAATCTCTTTTTTCTAGATTTGCCTCCTTTAAAATTGGGTGCGTCTTATAAGGCGAAAAATACGGTAGCCTTGCACTACTACAAGGGTCGGAAGTGATGGTCATTTCATTATAAAAGCACTTAATAGGGCCACCGTTGCCGCCTATGAAGGAACAGACAGTTAAAAATATGACTTCTTCGGGATTCGAAGCTGGGTCCATCGCTACGGCAGTCAGTGTCACTAACTACATACCATCTAAGCGACTGTATACGGGCTGTCCCCTGCCGTTGCTGGGGTTGTTTAAATTTTAGAAAAAGAAAATTAAGTATGAAATAAATTATGTTTAATAAAATCAACGTTTAATTATAATTAATGAGACTCTGTAAGTTGGTGTTAGATGATAAAATGTTCCAGAATAAGTGATTTTCTTGAAACAGCTGTTCTCTTACATACGATAACTGATCTCCAAACAAGCTGATTGCCGAAATAGATCTATTCAAATCTGATATTGAATATTGTTACGAATTTGGTATTTAAAAAGCTAATGTTAGTTCAATTATAAATTAAATGGTTTTATTTCCCGCGCAGTGCAGCGCGTGACGAATATTAAAAGAAAGCTAAGCCGGAAAAATTGAAAATACAAGAGCGCGTGCATTTAACATTAAATAAATATGTCTTTTTGATTTCGAGAAAGTACCAGAAAATTCTCCCACGCGATTTAAAAATCTTATAAAAGGAAGAAAAACCTCTCAGTTCGTGGTAGTTCAAGATGCATTGGCTGTGGACAGTTCACGGGAGGGTGACCCCCACGTGACTACCACTGCCCAATCTGTGTTTTACAGCAAGGATAAATTTGAATATTTTGTTTAGCTAATCTGTTGCACTTAGTTGTGCCATTTGTCTTCATTTAGATCGCGATATTAGTTTAATTATTCCAATCTGGATAACCTGTTTCAAAACTTGATAATTATTAATATATCCAATATTTCTCATTGCACGCGTAAGCTGCTTTGCTCGGAGTCTGAACTTGGGTGGGTGACCACCCACGTGATAGGCTCCTGCCAATCATCTCCCTCCACTCCACCTCCATTTCACAAAATTTGACAAGTTTCGCCTAGTTGGCGCGGCGTAAATCGCCTTAATTAAAAACTTAAGTACCAACAACGCCTTAGGGCAATTTAACAACAGAGACGGTTAAAGTAGAGGTTGGCTACTAATTGCCGCCTAGCCATTGACTCGATTTCGATTTCGATAGTTCGTAGAAGTTGCTTAGTTTGTTGTTGTTTAGAAAACTGCTCTTGTTGATTGTAGCGAATTCGCGGATTAGCTTTCTTTAGCTGTTTTGAATTAAGTTCTATTGGACATTTGAGTAGTTAAAAGATAACTACTGTGAGATATTGTAATACTGCATGATAATTTGAGAAAATTTAAGCATTTTTGTTGTGATAATAATAAAGTTTTGCTCATTTTTCATCGGACTTTTGCATTCATTTCATAACGAACCCGTACGCACGCAGCAATATTTTTTGAAATACAGTTTTTAAACTGCATTAGTTTCGGAAAAAACATAGCATGATATCACATAACATAATTCTGTACTTAGAAAAATAACAGTAGGAATAATGATAATAATGTAAAAAATAAAACCTGAAATGTTTCAGATTTTAAATTACGTCCAACGGAGCGTTTTATTAACATTTTATGTCTTGCATTTAATAGTCCAAAGAGATTTGAGTCCCGAAGGACTATTACTTTCGTTTTGGCATTTTGCATTAGACTACTATAAATGTCTGTTCACTTTTCAAACTGTTGCCACAAAATGCTAGAGTACTGAATTACATATTTGAAGAAATTAAATAATGAAAAAGCCGCATAAATGTTTGTATATTTCTCGCATTCTGATAAAACAACGGTATCTAGAGCCATCCAATTTTGAATGACGTAATCCTACTGCAAATATGGGCATCGGAAATAACAAATTTGAAATTTGGAATTTGTTTTAATATCGATTTCATATTTTGTAAAACTTGAACGAATTTTTGAGTAACAAACTCAACGATTTAAAAGCGAGCAATAGCAACACTCGACGGGAAAAAAAACTTTTTATCTCCAGCGCGTCAAACTGTGTATCGGAAATTCTAAAGTTAGGCTCATTTTAAAATTACTTCGCGACATTGCTATTGAACTAAATTTTATGGTTTAAGTGCAAAAAACATGATATTTAATAAATAAAAGTAACACATGAAACATTAAAAAGACGCCCCTTTGGACGTAATTTAAAGTCTGAAATATTTCAGATTTTTTTTATTTTGTGTATTCTGCTACAAAAAAAATATTTTTTTTTTAAATATAAAGTTCTTCGCACTTAAAGCATAAAATTCAGTTCAAGAGCAATATCGCAAAATAGTTTTAAAATGAGAATATCTTTAGAATTTCCGATACCGATACTCATGCTCTGGAGATAAAAATGTTTTTCTGTACAACGTTGCCGTTGCTCGCTTTGAAATCCTTGACTTTGTTGATGAAAAATTCGTTAAAGTTCTGCAAAATAGGAAATCGATAATGAAACAAATTCCAAATTTCAAAGTTGGTCCTCCACATGCAATATTCGTAGGAGAATTACTTTATTCAAAATTCAATGTCTCTATGTACCGTTGTTTTATCACAATACGAGAAATATACATGCATTTATGAGGATTTTTCATTATTTAATTTCTTTAAATATAACACATGGCAATAATACTTTGTGGCAACAGTTTGAAAAGTGATTCGCCGTTTGTAGTGATTCGACGCAAAATCGTAAAACGAAAACAATAGTCCTTCAGGGACAAAGCCCCTTTGGACTAAACATTTAAAAAAATCTGAAATGTTTCAGATTTTACATTACGTTCAAGAGGGCGTTTTTAAAAATATTATGTATGCTACCTTTATTTATTAAATGTCATGTTCTTCGTACTTAAATCATAAAATTCAGTTGAAGAGCAATATAATAAAATAATTTTTAAATAAGCATATATCCTTTAGAATTTTAGATACACAGCCTCACGCGCTGGAAATAAAATGTTTTTTTCTGTACAATTTTGGCATTGTTCGCTTTGAAATACTTAAGTTTATTAAGCAAAAATTCGTTAAAGTTTTACAAAATATGAAATGGATAATAAAACAAATTTCAATTTTCAAATTTGGGCTTTCACATGCCCATATTGGCACGAGGATTACGTTATACAAAATTTGATAGCTCTAGGTACCGTTGTTTTATCACAGTGCGCGAAACATTCATACATTTATGCAGAATTATTGAATTTCTTTAAATATAATACAGGGCGATAATATTTGGTGGCAACAATTTAAAAAGTGAAACAACGCTTGTAGTGAATCAACGCAAAATGCCAAAACGAAATTCATAATACTTCTGGGTAAATTGAACTAAAAAAAAAATCGTTTGGACTAAAAAAAAAATCTGATGTGTAAACCACATGACTTCCTTGTACGAAATATTAAATTATACGCATTTTTTCTTGCATTTTATTTAAACTTATTAGATTGAGTTAAACCTACTTCGCCGACAGCGTATAAACCACAATAGAATAAATGCATTCTTTAAAATTCACTTTGTTTACCATAGCGACACTCTGGCCCTAGGTTTACTTAATTTATATTTCATTTATATTAGAACTCAGAATGCACAAAATGTATATCATTTAAAGAATTATCTAATCGTTGCAACATGTTCTATTCAAATACTATAATAAAGATAGAACTATGTATAAAAGAAATTAAGCAAACAAAACAAAACAGAAACAGTTTTTCACAGACGATTGAGTATTTCTCATTGAATTAATTCAGTTCTCACTTCGCGAGAAGCCAAAATACATAAAAAACTCAAAATATCTATATTAAAAATTACGAAGTAAATCTCAAACGCTTATTTCCTCGAAAAAATTCCAGAAAGAATTAAGCATGATTTAATTGGCAATAATAAATGAATGCGTTATCTTTGTTTTTGCGAAGCTAAGTTTCTCTAGATTGGCAACAAATCCACTAGTCTCCTGTTTCAAAGGTAAACATTAATGGCCGCCATTAAAAACAGGCTTAGCGGCAATTAAACAACTTTAAAATTGCTGATAATTCTAAACATATTGCACACAGATTTACTAAAGGCATAAAATCCTTAACCGGAAGATAAAAACAACATAATTCAATTATTTTTAAAGCAAAAAATGTGCAATTTACAAACATATAAGAGTAAAGAAACTGAGATTACTGAGCCGGGTAATAGAGTAGGTATATATATAAATACATTTATATACGTTTGGTGCTGCCGATTGCAACCAAAATACGAGGTGCATATCTACATGTTATATCAGTCCTATATACAAAAATTTAAACGTTCTGAGGCTACTCGTTTTTGAGTTATGCGAGATACGTACGTACGCACGTACGTACATACGTTCGTACAGACGCCACGAAAAATTCTCTTCAGAATTAATTTTAAAGCAGTTTTATAATTTTTTGAAGGAAAAGAGTATTTTATTCTGTCCTTACGTACAGATATGACGCAAAAACATCGTTAAATTGCATTCGATAGCCGTCAAAATGGATATTTTCGTTGAAATATGCTGCCTGAATCTTTTCGCGATTACAATACTTCCTTCTTACTTCGTACATGGAAGTAAAAAGGGGGAATCTATTTGTAA